TGTGTGTGTGTATATATCTGTGTGTGTGTGTGTAGGGGTTGTGGAGCCTGTGGAGGTGGTGGATAACGGGGACCAGACTCACTCTGTGAGCTACGTCCCCACCAGAGAGGGACCGTACTCCATCAACGTGCTGTACAACGACCAGGAGATCCCCCGCAGGTCTCTATCTATCTATCTATCTATCCATCTATCTATCTATCTATCTATCTATCTATCTATCTATCTATCTATCTATCTATCTATCTATCTATCTATCTATCTATCTATCACACAGGAGCTCTTTCAAGTGGGGTCCTGTTTCATTCACAACACCTGTCCCACCAACCAGGAACCAGAACCAGACGTTTACAGTAAAAACAGGAAGATATCATCCTGTGGATTATCTGAGGATCTTAGTACTGAATGCCCAATAAAAGGGACATTTTCACACTGTTTTTAGGACGTTTTCTGCCTTTTTCTGTTGTTTTTCTACCTTTTTCTGCCTTTTTCTATCTCTTTCTGATGTTTTTCTGCTGTTTTCTGCCTTTTTCTGGCTCTTTCAGATGTTTTTCTACCTTTTTCTATTTTTTTCTGCCGTTTTCTGCCTTTTTCTGTGTTATTGTATTGTGTATTCTGTATTATTCTGAATTATCTGAGTACTGTATGCCAATAACAAGGCACATTTACACACTATAGGACCAGTTTGATAAAACACTGTTTCATACAATATATAGAATTAGGGGTTTGGGGGTCCTTGGCCTGTAAAACCTTGCAGACCCCTGGTCTAAAGTAATTTTCTGTGGGGGTTTCTTGTTGTTGTCAAACTGTTTTTATTGAGAAATCAAACATGAGAATTACAACCTCAACAATATACGTTTGTTCTCTTTTTTTTTAATGTGAACATACAACATAAAGACAATACCAAATTAAAACAAAACAAAAGTGACAAAAATAAGGACATTCTCAAGACCCAAAACAAATCATCCTCAAATAGGGTTATTAATATATTGCTGAAGGGGTTGCAAAGTTCTGTTTAATCGTTTTAAGTTAATTGCTAATGAGAACCGTACTTTTTCCAAATGAGAGAGCCTCACCAGTTCCTCCAGCCACAATTTAACAGATGGAACTTCTGGTTTTTTCCAGAACATCAACACTAGCTTTTTTCCTATGATAAAGGCATAAGATAATAATTGCCGTTGATATTTATTAAATTGAGAAAGCTGAACAGAAACTCCGAGTACAATCAGAAGTGGGTCCAGCCTTAACCCTATACAGAGCATATCTGAGAAAGTTTTAAATATGCCAGACCAAAATGGGGTTAATTTTGTACACAAAGAGTAAGAATGGAGAAGTGTAGCTTCTGAAATCTGGGGGGGTTTCTGATGGAGAACCCCTCTTTACCTGAGCCAGGATCTTGAGCGGGGCCTTTCCTCCCTGCTTGGCGTCCACGGTGAACTCTGTGGGTTTCCCCACAGCCAGCCCGCTGCTCTGGAGGCCGGGGCCGTGCGCCTTCACCTGGGAAACACAGGTCAGAGGTCAGGGGTCAGGGGTCAAAGGTCAGGGGTCAGAGGTCAGGGGTCAGGGGTCAAAGGTCAGGGGTCAGATATCAGGGGGGAGCCGGGCTCCTCTCAGGTCAGAGGCTTTTATTTGTGCCAGTATGGGCATTTTTTGTGCAGTAGTAGTACACTTTTCACACATAAAAACACAAGAAACATATCAAATATTTAAAAAAAAGATTAAAGTAAGGTGGATAGATAAATAAATATGTATATAAATAAATAAATAGATCCGGGATCCTCTCGGGTTAGAGGCTTTTATGTGTTCCAGTATGGGCAAGTTTTGTGCATTAGAAGTACACATTCACACATAAAAAACACAAGAAACATATCAAATATTTAAAAAAAAGATTAAAGTAAGGTGGATAGATAAATAAATATGTACATAAATAAATAAATAAATAAATAAATAAATTAATAAATTCATTAATTAATAAATTCATTAATTAATTAATACAAAAATAAATAAATACAAATAAATAAATAATGAAAATAAATAAATAAACCGTATGCCTATATGTATGCAACGTACGACTATCTGCTTTTCCTAGTAGAGTTTAGCAGCCAAAAGCTGAATGTAGGAAGAAGAAGAAGCCAAACAAAAGCTGAAAAAGACATAGAATTAAGAGTGGATGAAAAAAAGACAGAATGATTAGAGGAAGAAATGCTGAAGGGAGGAACCAGAAGAAGCCAAAGAAAAGCTGAGGAAAACATAGAACTGAAATGTGGAAGAAGAAAGGCAAAATGATTAGAAGAACTGAAGACTTGAATGGGATTTGAACCAGCAACTTCTCAATCTGGAGTCAAACCCTCTAGCATTTAACTTTATCCTACTTAGAAAGGCTGCTTAGGACTACAAAACAAGAATTTAAAGGGGTGAAATGCCAGTGACCAGCAGATGGAGCCATGGTTTTGACTCCATTCTTTTCAATGAGAGAAAATAAAAGCAGGAAAAGTTAAATAACTTAAAAGGTTGAAAAGATTTGAACACCAAAAGTCGTAGCTGCATAGTCCTGAGATAGCTGAACATTTTGATTCCTTATTTGTTGAAATAGGCTGAAAACTGTGAGCGTAGTTAGACGCAGAAGAAGAGAAACAGGAAAACAATAGTGAAAATGCCAGTAGGTGGAGAGTTTGACTCCAGTTTGAGGTGTTGCTGGTTCAAATCCCAATAAAGTCTTCCATTCTTATTTTCTTCCAATAATTTTCCTTTCTTCTTCAATTCTTTTTAAGCTTTTCTTTGGCTTTTCTTCTTCCTCCATTCAGCACTCACTATTCTCACAGCCTTGTTCTAGTAATTTATATCATTTACATTAAGAAGAGCGTACAAGCAGAAGTATGGACTCTATATAGATAAAAATATAAATATAAAAATATATAATATAAAATACAAAAAATATAAAAATCTATCAAATCTATGTAGATAAAAATATATAATACAATATAAAGAATATAAAAATCTATAAAATC